TTTTTCTCCTTTTCCTTTTTTTTAGATGAAGTTGACTTTACTAAAATTAAGAATTTTTGTGCATTAAAGGATTTTGGCAAGAAAATAATGAGGCAACATACAGAAAGGAAGAAAACATTTGTTAATCATATATTTGATGAGTATTTAATATTCAGATTATCTATCTACCTATCTAATCTCGCTCTCTCTCTTATACAACTTAACAAAAAGACAAACAACTCCATTAAATTATGGAAAAGAGACTTAAGTACACATTTCTCCAAAGAAGATATACCAATGGCCTATAAGCACAGAAAAGATGCTCAACATCATCAGTCATCTCCTTTTCCTTTAATTACTACTTCATTCTCAAAAGTTATTGATCTAGGTTCATAGATGTTAATTACAATCTTGCAGCTAAAACACGAGAGAACTTGACAAATTTTTCAGCTATAAAACTATAAACACCACTAGCAGCAATGATAAGTGCTGTCAAGTTCGTTCTGACTCATAGCCAGAGACTTTTAGCCTTGTAGGTATATTCATATATATAAGCTGGGCTTATGAAAAAAATGTTTGGTTATTATAACTAACTGCAGAGATTTTTTTATATAAGAAATAATACATTTCTGCTGAAACACTGCATGAAAATTTTATAGACAGTCAATTTGGTGTTACCCCTCACTGACAGTGACACCTGGTGTGGTCCACATTCCCTATACCACCCTGGTGACCATACTTGTCCTCAAGTTCATTGCTTTGACTTGTGTCTATCCCTAACAACTCTAGAGCCAGCAGCCAGCCAGCCATTTCTGCAGACACACCACCACTACCTCTATCCACTAAGGAAAACACGCTACTGCCTTGGTCTATCTGGAGAGAAAGATGCATAGCTCGGAGGGCAGACAGTGCTTACACAAGTATTCCCTTGTTCAGACCGCTCGCCACTCCCCCACCCCCCACATACACAAGATTGGGAGCACCTTCAGGGAGGCTCTGGGCCAGATTTTCTTCCTCCTTCCCTCTCAAAAGCACCCACTGATCTCCCACTCTGGGCCAGGCCTGGGATTGGGCTCTAGGGACCTGGGCCTGCCTTTGAGGAGCTCACAGTCCATAGAGTGACAGCAGAGATGATGGCAGCCAATGGCAGCAGAGGAATGATAATGGGGAGCAATGCGAGCTGAAGGGGCCCAGAGGAGGCTCGTAATCTAGTTATAGGGTGGGGCTGAGTACTCAAAAAGCATTCTGCAGGAGATGGCACTGAGGGGAGGACAAGATAGAAAAAGAAGTTCAAGCCAGATAACAGCATGAGCAAAAGGCCTGGAGGCATGTTAGCAGTTTGGAGAAGGCACAAGCCATCTGGCCCACCTGGAAACCAGGCTTGGTCACTAGCTCACCAGTTGCTGTTGAATTAAGACACAGGGCAAGAGGCCTGCTAAATGGAGGGGTGAGGTTAGGGCACCCCAGCTGGCTGGGAAACTCAGGAAGGCTAGGGACCATTTGACTTAATAAGGCATTAACCCACCACTTCAAATTATCTAAATTGAGACCTGCAGTACTTCACTCAATTCTCCCACCAGCAGGCAGTCGGATCTGCATTTGACAGATAGGGAAGTAAAGACAGTGAAGACAAGGCCTAGTCTGGCTCCTCCCAGGAGCCTGGGAGAAGACAAAAATGCTTTCTGCTTAAGCAAGAGCCAATGCCAAACCTCTCTGCCAAACCTCTCTGCTCCGCTGGATGAAGGCCTCCACTTCTCCAAAGGCTCTCCCCTGACCCCCCTCACCTCCACCCCCACCCTGTGCCTTTCTACTCCAGGGTGCCCTTACTTGGTCAATTCCAACTCATGGTGACCCATGTGTGCAGAGTAGAACTGAGGCTGTTTGGAAGTAGACAGCCAGGCTTTTCTCCCAAGGTACCTCAGAGTGGGTTCCAACAACCCATCTTTCAGTTGGTAGTAGAGCACTTAACTGTGGGGACCACCTAAAGTGTGACGGCCTCTCATGTAAGCCTTGGGAAAACTGAGGGTGGAGGTGGCTCTGGGGTGGAGGGAGCATGCAGCATGAAGCAGGGCTGGAGATGACAGTGTTGGGGGGGGAACAGGGGTTCTAGTCTCCCATTCAGATTCCACCAACAATGGAGGTCAGGGTATGAAGTGCAATGAAGGATGGGAGGGGGTGCTGGCAGCCCACTTTCCCCTTCCTATCACTTTGCTGTGGTCTGCCTGGAAGCCACTCATTGGTGATGGAAGGAGGAAAGCCCTCAGTCTTCCTTTCACCAGGGAAAGGATACTCTTCTCTCCCTGATCTTGGGGCAGATTTGGCAGTAGAAGCAGATAAAGCAGGCATTTTAGTCCTGGTGTGGTGATGTGGGTAAATACACTAGACAGCAAAGTCAGTTTGAACCACAAGCTCACCAGCTGTTCCTCAAAAGCCCTATACAGTGTCACTATGGGTCAGAGCTTACTCGACAGCACTTAACAACAACAACCATTCAGTTAGGAACTTCAGCTTAAATGGTGAAGCAACTTGTCCATGGGTACCACTGGACCTTTAACCAAAAAAGTCCTCCTTGTCAGCACATGAAGCACCCTTCGGCCACAACTTTGT